TGCTCGGCCCCAGCTTGGCCGTTTGCAAGCCGGGAGGGGGTGGCGGGCATCATGGGGGGGAGGTCGGGGTCGAGTTCAGAAATACCTCTCCGTTTAAACTCCAGGAAGATCAGGCAGTCGCTGACGGGGGCTCCCGCGAAGGGACTGCCCATCAGAGTCGCCCCTGCGGGGTAGGACGGGCAGAAGGCAGCCTCTGGGTCCTTGTCCGGGCAGAAAACCGAAACCTGAGCGTCAATACTGCCTTGTTTCTAAGGTTACGGCAAGAGCATCTCGCAAGTCTGAAAGCCCTTCTCCCCTCCCTTGCCTTTACTTTCCAGAGAACTAGGGAGGTCCCCTCTGAGACGCTTCCGTGCCCCCGTTCCTTCTGCGGGCTGAGATTTCGTTTATCAGCTGCGGCTCTTCCTCCCGTCTCCCAGGGAGATCCTCACAGCCCATGAGCGCTTTCCTTGAGTGCTGGAGACATACCTGGGCTAGTCGCAGGCAGTCTCTCGTCAAGGAAGCAAGAGCTGGCTATCTGAAGTGCATAGCTTAGTGGGAAGCAATTGCCCCCACGTCGTGACTGCAGGTATTAAATCTTCAGAGGCAGAAGCATGCAGGAAGTGTAGTGTAGTACTATGAGATAGGTACATGGGGGATATTTGGGGTTTCACGCTGTAGTACTCAGTGGCATAGACAGAGTTCCTGGAGACAGCTGGCTGCAATCCAGAACACACTGAACTGTGCTGAGTTTTGGTAGCCCACGGAACTGACCCCTTTTATGTCATCCTCACGTTGCTACGGTCATCATTCATCATTTAAAAAATCCCTATCATTTTTATTTTCTCCTGTCAATTTGTTAGTCCTTGACAGTTTCTTCCAGCCTGCAGTAACACTCTAGTAAGTGTCTTATATAATGAAGCAAAGGAAAAAAACAAACGAAAAAGCAGTTTTGCATGAGATGACTTCAGCTTTTAACACGAGTGATCTGTCCCAGCCCTGCAAGCGTGTTTAACCATTCTTGTCTGTTCCCACTGACAATTACCCAGAGGAATGTGGCCCCAATGTTGTAAAAAGTCCAATTTCTTCATTCTAATTTAAATAGCTGAACTTTTGAAAGAATAGAGACAGATAAAGGAAATAAAATGAGCTATTAAAGATCCTATTTCTTTTAGGCATGCTTTGAATATGCATTAACAACCTGATGCTCATGTATGCTTTGGACTAAGCCCTTTGACTTGCAAGTAAGCATGCAAAGGATTGCAGCCCTGAATTCTACTCTCAGTAAAGAAAGATCACTTGATTTCTTGAATCAAAAAGGAAAGTTAAGGGGTGAGTTGGAAAGAGCTGCCTGGCTCTTAGAGTGAGATTGGGCATGTATCAGGTATAAATTAGGTACCTTCAGTTGTGGAGTCCTTGGTGCTCTCTGAGCTTGGTTGTTTGCTTCATTACCTGACTAGGTAACATTATCAGTGTCTTCAGATGTGTTGGTGTCACTCCCACCAGCTCCAGGCGGCCAGTGAGGAGATACTGATAATTGTTGAGCCAAATATCTGGAGGAGAATAGATTGCCTACCCAAGACATGTGGTATGAGAGCTTTGCAGATCTCTGAGGAGCACATTGTGGCCCTGGTTACTGATACCAGTCTTTGTTACTTGTACAGGAGAAATGGCCACAGAGGAAGGTCAACCCCTGCTGGGTTCCAAGGAGCAAAAGAAGCATTGGCAGTTACCTACTGAACAACGTTCTGTCACAGACAACTATCTAAGGTAAATGTAACCTCTTTCCCAAGCAGCTCAGAGGCTGGGAAGAGAAAACTGTGAGCAGAGAAGATGGATGAAATTGGGTGGAAACAGTCTGGTTCACTGCTGCGCGACAAGGTTTTCCATTCACCGGTCCTCTTCAGTCCTCCTTCCCCTTGAGCTGTTTGTGCAGCTAGCAGTGTGAGCAACGAACTGCAAAGCAATTTGTTCCTTTTCAAACTGTGCCCTTCTCTTTTTAAACCTTAACTGTGGCCGGTCATATTATCAGCACAGGGTCAAAACCCTATGCAGACTTTGGGCTGTGGGTGTTTACCTTTTTAAAGTAATGTTTGCATTTGACTTTTGAGTAGAACTAATACCATATTTTGATGTACTGCAGGTAAATGTTTCCATAACCTTATGGAGAGAAAGGACTTTGAAGCATGGCTTGATAATCTTTCTGTTACGTTTCTCTCTCTGACGGACTTGCAGAAAAATGAGGCGTTGGATCACCTGATTGGCTTGAGCGGGGCTGTTCAGCTCAAGCATCTCTCCAATAACCTAGAGGCGCTTCTCAAACGGGACTTCCTCAAACTCCTCCCGCTGGAACTGAGTTTCTATTTGTTAAAATGGCTTGACCCTCAGACCTTACTCACATGTTGCCTCGTCTCTAAGCAATGGAACAAGGTCATAAGTGCCTGTTTGGAGGTGTGGCAGGCGGCCTGTAGGAACCTAGGTTGGCAGATCGATGACTCTGTTCAAGATGCTTTGCACTGGAAAAAGGTGTACTTGAAGGCTATATTAAGGATGAAGCAGTTGGAGGATCATGAAGCCTTTGAGACCTCCTCCTTGATTGGACACAGTGCCAGGGTGTATGCACTTTACTATAAAGATGGACTCCTTTGTACAGGTAGGGCAGCCCAGGTGTCTGGAACACAAAGCTGCTGGAGATGTGCAGTAGTTGAAGTGTATGAATTGTAAGCCAGGAAGGCTCCAGCGCAGATCTTCCCTCTGCCACAAGATGGGCTTAACAAATTGCTCCTTCATTGCCCCCTTTGTATCAGCAATGCAGCCGTAAAAGATTAACTGCCGTAAAAGATTAACTGAATTTACATAAAGGTATCTTCTAATAAGGCTTTACTTTCCGTTTCAGAGGTTTTACTCTGAAAACATCTGCCAAGCAAATAATGAAAGTAAACATTCCTGGGCTCCTTTTGACAGTCAGTCCCACAGAAAAGGAGAATGACTTTGATATGGATGAATGTTGCCTAGGGTGTTTACCTCCTTCCAGGCAGGAATTGCAGCTGGTCCCTCTTGTTCAGAAAAATCACCTGTTGTATCGATTGGTCGTGCCTTGCCTGTTGACTTTGGGGAGGCTAACCTGAATGAGGAATTATGCTGTAAATGCCGTAGGGGGTATTTTTCCTTTTATGTGTTCTAAAAATAGGTCATTTGGAGTCGAAGGTTATCATATATTTTAAAAACCCTGAAAGAAATTTTTGGGTGATGTTTTCTAGATAGACCCCTGGAAGCTAAAATTAAGCCCTACAAACAAAGCTGGTGGTGTGCTGGAAGTTGAAGCTGGCTCTCCCAGTTTGCTGTGGATCAGATCAGCCGTCCTCTGAGCCACCTGGCTTCCAGGCTGCTAAAGTAGCCTTCCTTTCTTCCCTCGGGGCTCTAGGTTCAGATGACTTGTCGGCCAAGCTGTGGGATGTGAGCACGGGGCAATGCATCTATGGCATCCAGACCCACACGTGTGCAGCGGTCAAGTTTGATGAGCAGAAGCTGGTCACGGGCTCGTTCGATAACACAGTGGCCTGCTGGGAATGGAGCTCAGGAGCCAAGACCCAACATTTCCGAGGCCACACGGGGGCAGGTGGGTCAGGGTTTTGAGGACAGCATCCTATCAAGTACATATCTGCCTGTAAGGTCTGTTAGGGGGAGCCACTTCCTCAGTTTAGCAACCACTCCACATATTGCTCTTATAACCGCTCCTCTTGCATATTGCGTAGAACAGAGGTGCCAGTATGTTCACTCCCTTCAAATTACCTTCCGATTCTTCCTCTTTGAGAATCTTTGGAAGAGTCTGTTCTCATCTGTAGCCCTCTGTTACATTGTCCATCACCCTGATCAATAACCATGCTGGCTTATGTAGGAGCAGAGATTTTGCATTGCACTCATTAATTAGTTTGGCCGTGCAAGAATGGCTGTTATCACCTGACCACTCTTGCAAAGGACCCCTCTCAGAGAATTAGAAATCTTCTGACATCATGATTGACCATCCCCTTGTCAATCCATGCTTCTCAAGAACGGAGCCCAGTCTAAAGCAGCTGAGGTCATAACTTTGCTAGTCTGTAAGGTGCCAAAAGGCTTGCTTTGGCTGCAACAGTCACACACTGACTGCCCTGTCACTGCTAACAACTTACTAATGATTGTGAAGGAACCATCCAGAACAGTCTGGGAGGCCATGGCATGGAACGGAGACAAGTTTCTTTTCTCTCTCTCGGTAGTTTTCAGCGTGGATTACAATGATGACCTGGATATCCTGGTCAGTGGCTCAGCAGATTTCACTGTGAAAGTGTGGGCCTTATCAACAAGCATCTGTCTCAACACATTGACTGGACACACAGAGTGGGTCACAAAGGTGAATAGTGTGGGTTTTCTCCTTTCCCCAGGCCAACCTCTTTGGTTAATTACATATTCTTATATCATCTTAGCAAAGGCTTGAGCTGTGAGAGCTGTTTTGTTGATGCTCAAGATCATGGATGAAAACTGTAATGAAAACCTATTTTCTTGCTTCCTGCCGTTTTTGTTATTGTTTATCATTGTTTAAAACATACAGAGGACCATCTAGGTCCATGGCACTTCTCAGATTACAAGAGGACAAATCTGCCTCCTGGTTCATTACAGTGTACATTTCAGCCCTGAAGAAACAAATGAGAAGGGAGGGAAATGAAGGCGGGGGAAAAGATGGAAAAAAGAAATCATTTTAGTTGCACAGGCTTAGGGTTAATTGTAGCAATTAACCAGGTAGTTGTGCCAAAATGAAAAAGGAAACTGGAATGTATCCCACTTTGTTATATGAATACTCAAGAGATGCCTCATCTGGAATCAGACTCTGGATTTGAGTGGACCTGGTGCAGGTCAGATTATCTGATCAGCTCCCATGTTATCACCAACTGGTAATGTTGCCTGTATTAAATAGCACAGGGTATTGATAGAAACAGAGCAGGCATCCTGCAAAGAACATTTGATCTCCCAATTTGTGGAGAACGGTGAAAATGGGAACTATAGGAGCAGGCTTGCTCCTGTATGCAGGTGGCATCTAATCTGACTGTCTGAATCAGACTCATGAGACATGATAGGAATGCACTGGAACAAATTTTAATGTCTTGGGTTGTCTTCTCTTGTGTGCCTGCCTCCAGCCTTACTGAAATCACTTTTTCATGGCAGGTGGTCTTACAAGAGTGCAAAGTCAAATCCCTCATGCACAGTCCTGGGGATTACATTCTTTTAAGTGCAGATAAGTATGAAATCAAGGTATGTCCAGCCTTTGATTTACGGAGCTTTGGAATTCAGGGGGAATGGATTCTACATGTTCAAATAAGTTGGGGGAACAGGGGTGTGTTGGTGTCTGGGAACTATTCAGGTAGTCCTCATTTAGTGACTGCTTCATTTAGCAACTGTTCACAGTTATGGTGATGAAAAAGTAACTTTGTAACCAGTCCTATTTATGATCTTTGCAGTTCTGTAAAGCAAAGGAAAGCTGAAGTAAGATCATAAACAGTTGTGGTTTCACTTATCAACCGTTTTGCGTAGCGACTGAGTTGCTGGTCCCAATCATGGTTGCTAAACGTGGACTACCTGTATGTAATTATTTTTGAGGGGGCATGGATCACAGTGAATAAGGGGTACTGCAGTTAGGGTAGAGCTGGGAGGTAGGATTTTCCTCTTCTGAGGAAAGTGGGGAGGAATTGATTTTGTTTTTTTTTTTAACCTGCATTAAGCCTATTTTAGGGCTTAAGCATTTGTTTTAATGTATTTTCCCTGGGTTAGTTTAGCACACCAGGACAGGACCAGGTTGATCAGCCATTGGCTGACCTTAATCCTGGGAGTTTCTTTCTCTACTGAGCCTGTCTCACAGGATGTGCGTGTATTTCCACACACAAATGTGCAGAGGAAGGTAACAAGCTACCCTCTTGATTTTGGGGGGCTGTTTTAGCTAAAAATGGTCAGTATTAGTAAATAAATATTTTTGTATGCTGTCCTCCTATCATTGTTAACATATGTCTTGCTTTATACCACAATTTAAGAGAGAGAAAAAAGCTTGGTCTTCACTGTGAGATGTTTTGCAGCATAGAAAACAAGAGACAGTAGACATTTGGGAGAGGAATAATTATTTCAGTTTAGGCTTTGTTTCTGTGGAGCTTATGAGCTCTCCTTAGGTTGATGGATTTTCTGAAAAGTCATTTGCTAAAGACAGGTTTTGTCTTCCTTGTGGCATTTGGGGAATGAGTTCCAGGCCCAGGAGATGGCGGAGGGCAGTCAGAAAGTGAATTTTTTCTTCTATGTTGCCACAATTCCCTAGTTTTTCAGTTGTTTTGTTGCAGATCTGGCCAATTGGAAGAGAAATCAACTGCAAATGCTTAAAAACCCTGACGGTTTCAGAAGACCGGAGTATCTCCTTGCAGCCTCGGCTTCACTTTGATGGGAAATATATTGTGTGCAGCTCGGCCATTGGGTTGTACCAGTGGGACTTTGCCAGCTACGATATTCTCAGGTAGTAATTCTGAATTTAAAGCTGGCAAAATGCAGTGGAAAGGGGACATCACTGCCGGCTGCTCCCTTTAACCAGATTGCACTGAGAAGGCCTTGCAGGTGCTCCGAGGGATAAGCTGAACTAACTTTTCTCTGGAGCAGCGGTCTTGGTATGCCACATTGGCAAATATTCCCCGGGAGTCCTAAGATGCTCCTGTACTTGCTGTATTGCACCTTGTAAACTCTAATAGATCACATGCCAATCAGTTCTAACCCTGAGACAAAGAGATGGCTTGTTTTTTTGTGGATTTCAGCATGCTTCATCATCTCTGTCCTGTTGTTCCCCAGTTCTCCTTCCCCTTTCTATGGCCTTCTACTGTTCCCTTTTCACCCCTTTCATTCCAGTTTCTCATACCCTCTCCGCTGCTCCCTTTCTAGGCGCCCATCTCACTTTCCTTAAGCCATTCAGCATGCCTGGACATTCCCAAGACTCGCATCAATTCAGCCAGCATCAGGCAGATGAATTTCGTTCTGAGCCAGTGATGCTCCTGAGTGTGGCTGAGGACAGATGGAGAAACTTCTGACCTCCCCTTGTAAAGTGGCAGGGCTGCTACCATAAAAAAAATGGGTGTGTCTTGTATTTTCTTCTTCTCATTGTTTTTTCTTTCTCCCATTCCTGCAGGGTTATCAAACCACCTGAGTTTGCAAATTTGTCCTTGCTGGGTTTTGGTGACATTTTTGCCCTCCTGTTTGATAACCACTACCTGTACATAATGGACTTGAGGACAGAAAAACTGATCAGCCGTTGGCCGCTGCCGGAATACAGGAAGTCGAAGAGGGGTTCAAGCTTCTTGGCAGGAGAAATGTCTTGGCTCGATGGTTTGGACGGTCAGAATGACATGGGCTTGGTGTTTGCAACCAGCATGCCTGACCACAGTATCCACCTGGTCTTGTGGAAGGAACATGGCTGAATAGAGCCAACGGAATCTGGAATGTGGGTTTTTATATATATACATATTAAAAAAAAAAAAAACAGAATGGAGACTGCCAGCAATGAATCAAATGGAGGATGTTTTGCATGAACCAAAGTTACACAAGGTTTCATCCTGCAACGCACAATCATTTTTACCATTTAGTTTTCAATGCCATTTTCGAGAGAGGGGAGGTGGGGAAGAGGAGCCAACGGGGCACAACAGAAATGCCTATTCATTTCCTTCTTTTTCTCAGAATGAAGGTATCATAGCATCTTGACTGTTCCCAACATTGGCTCATATATATTCAAGTTCAAATATACCCATTTGAACCTATTTCTTGACTGGTTTTAGCTTTCTTGGGGGTTGGGGAAAAAAACCTATTCAATGCAAGCATATGGGATTGCATTTCTTCCTCCCCTTGCTGTTTGGAGAAAAAAGGAAGTTGTTAACTTGAATTTGCTTGTTTAAAAATCATCTGATTCACAGCCATTATGTAAGACTTGATTACTCCTAAAAGGAATGCTGGGTAATCAATTTCTATAGGGTGGTATTACATTTCTTTCTGTTTCTCTCTCTCACACTCAGACATGTATGAACAGAATGTCTGGGAGAATCCTTCAGCTTTGTTCACTCCTCTGTGTATGAAGATTTAAACTAGGGCATTCTGTGGAGAGCAGGAAATAAAGCATTTTCCTCAGAAGAGTTGCTTGTCAGATCAAGGAAGTTCTTAGAAAGGGTTAAGCTGATAGCCTTTTAACTCCAGCACTTTGTGAACAGAAGAGTTAAGAGGTTGGTGGTATCTCCAGTGACAGGAGAACAATGGATGCTGTTTATAGTGTAGTCCAAAATTTGATGGGGCTGTCCTCTTGGAATTTTCTTCAGAAAGAGAAGATTGATGTTGAAGTCAGAAAGAGCAAGACGACTACAGGTTGGTGAAAGGAAGCTGGCATGAGGATAGATTAGAAGGAAGATTCTGAAACCCAACTACAGATGCCCCAAAGTGACTTGGTGTGTCAAGTTAAAAGCTGTTACCTTAACCCTTCAAACAAAGTAAAGCAACATCTATTGTTTTGTGAACATTTCTTAATCTGTTTCCAGCCTAAAGCCAATGCTGAGCATACGCTGGATTCTTAAGTGAAGGAATTTCAGATTTAAGAGTGGAAGATGGTTCTGTGCTGTCCTTTTCTTGGAGGTGAGCTGGAGCAGAAGCCACAGCCTTCTCCCAGCATGTGCTAATAAAAGTTTACATGACAATATTAATAAAAACATCTGCCTGGTTCAGTGTTTGTGGCAATGTGAACTCATTGATCTTTTTTGGACTTGTCTTGGGAAAATAAACGCAATCTCTTTAATGAAGGAGAGAAAGAAGTCACCAGCCAAGGTTCTGGTTAGTTTTTGTGGCTTTTCATACTGTGTTGAGCTCAACCACGAAAGCCAAGAAAACAGATTAATTCAGTAAGGTTAATCATGGGTAAACCCAGCTTTTGTGGGGACCTCAATTAGTTAAGCAGCAGTGGTCTATTAGGGAGTACCTCACATGCGTTCCCATGTTATGAACAATGGACGATGCTGGAAAAAAAGTTCAAGCCAAAGTCATAAGCTATTTGGGCCAATCCAGCATGACTTCGAGGTGCATAGCCTCGTGAAAATACAAACAGTGACAAAGAGACCAAGTGCTCTATGGGACTTAGACTGTGAGAAATTGGGCGACTTCAGTAAGGAGCACAAGTAGTCAAAAGTACAATGATGCACTCTTGGCTCATGCAGCCTTCAGCTCAGCTTGGGGTTATTGTAACTCCCATCATTCCTGGCCACGCCTTGCTGGCTAAAGCTAATGGCAGTTGGACTCTGGTATCTGGAATGCCGCAGGTTCTTCACCCAACCTGATCACTCAAGCTCACGAGCAATTCTAGCGGACCTCTGAAAATACGCAGATTAGCAACAGAATCAGATGGACCAGCCTGACAAACTGTTCTTCAGTAACGGACAAAGAATCCTGTATTTCTTGAGGGTGTTTTTAAATGCAACACAGATATATCTATATTCTGGAGCTGGGAACATTTTCAACTGAAATTAGACAATATCAATTGCAATTATAAGGCATAAAAATGCAAAATATTTATTAATTTATTATTAAATTTGTATGCCGCCCATCTCCCTCAACAGGTGACCCCCAACTAAATTAATTTTAGTTAAAAGGATTCATATGTAGTTTGTTTGTTTTTTAGGGGAAAAAAATCCTGCAAAACTAAGCTGCTTAGAATACAGCTTGGTGCAAGTGACTTCTTGAAATATCTTCCTTCCATCTCAGTCCATGGGCAGAGAAAGTGGGGACATCAGTCCACAGGAAAACTACAGAAAAGAATTAGCTAAAATTCTACCAAGATTCATTTTTCATAGCAGCGGATGTAAGGAAATAAGGCTATCTCAGATATCTAAGAAAAATGGTTTTCAAGATAATATCTATCCTGTGTACTGTGCAGAGGGCTTCACAGAGGGTTTCTGCAAAGAGATTCTGTGGAAGGCATGGAAGCCTTTCTCATTTTTTCTCCTCCTGCTAGGACATCTGTGAGGCCACAAAATCTCCTCATGAGGCATAAATATTGACCCTGCAACTTGGCAACAGTTTGGTCTAGTGGTTAAGGCACTAGGCCAGAAAGCAGGAGACGGTGAGCTCTAGTCCCGCCTGAGGCACGAAAGCCGGCTGGGTGACTTTGGGCCAGTGCCTCTCAGCCCAACTCACCTCACAGGATTGTTGTGGGGAAAATAGGAGTAGGAAGGAGCATAAGGTATGTTCACTGCCTTGAGTTATTTATAAAAATAATAAAAGTGGGCTAAAAAAAAATCTTAAAAAAAATAAAAACCAAAGCAAGGAGGACATCCACCTTAGATTGTTAGCACGATCTCTTTCTGCTTGCTCTGTCCCCCCATTCAAGTGAATCCATGTGTCCTTTTTGAAAGACAGAAATCCAAGCAAGGAACAAAGCCTATAAATAATTAAGGACTGTGATGCTCTAGAGTGACTGCTTGGAATCCATTCAGCTCTAAGTGTTCTATTTTTTGGAGTCATTTGCCATAATGCAATCATGTCAGACTCTTCTGATAAATCTATATCACTGGCAGCCTTTGGATTGATAAGCTGTCATTGCCACTCCTGGATGACTCACTGTGAACATGAAGCTCTCCTTCAATGCTTGGTATTTCCACACTGGGTGGGAAAAAAATAAAGGTTTACAGGAAGTTCTGGAGATGGTCCCTTAAACAAATTCTGAGTTAGATGGGTCAATGATCTGACTTGACATTCAACAGGTTACTTATCTTTGCAGCAAATTGCATCTTTGAAGGTCTCAGGAAATCTATTATTAAATCAGAAGCCAATAAAACAAATTTGAGCATGCCACCAAGAATGAAGGATTTATGACAAGTTGAAAACATTGCTCAGTGCACTAGCAACTAAAAATGGGAGTATGTAAGTATGTGTTGCAGGTATACACATGGAGCTGATTGTCTTGGGACATCTTCGGGGAGGAACCTAGCAAGATGTAGCAAGGATCACAACTTATGTTTCATGCAGATCAAATCTACCACCACATAAGGGAACCCAAATCAATCTGAATCAGTATCACTGACTTAGAGATGTAAAGTTCTCCACTATCTGGGCAAAAGAATCAACAGTAGAGTTCCTGGACTTTTTTATGGAGTTCTGTCTCAATCACCCAGATTATTTTTTTCTCCCTGTTACTGAAATATGGGGCAATGGCAATAGTTTCATTGTCCCTTAAAACTGAGGTTGTATTATGACAACCTTTCCCTTGCAAAGTGATTTCCCTTTTAGCATAATTCATTTGGGTTGGAAAGAGAGCTTTTCAGGACCTGGAGATAACAGAAAGTTAGCACAGTAGGAAAGTCAACTAGATACAGTTCTGTGGTCAAACACTTTCACCCTCTGTGGTTTTGAAGCCCACACCAATGCATCTGCTGAGGTTGCAACATAGAGAGAGCAAAGCAGCTAGAATCACCAGAAACTAATGTCCTAGGATGCCAAAGCCAGAAGCAATCTGAAAAATACATAACTACTCACTGGGCTGTTTTGAAGGCTCTTGCAAGCAGAAAAGTAGGGTATACTTTTAATAATAAAATTAAATAATAAAATAATCAGACTTGATTTAAGGGGGTCCTTACTTTTTCCTCGAAATAAATATATTGCAAATGCTCAAGCTTACATAATGCAACATATATTTTATCTTCTAATTGGAATCAGAAGTAGGAAGCAAATTTTATAAACATAGTAAAAAGGGAATAGGAGGAAAAGAACACAATCCAAAGAAATACAATAAAAACCAACAAAAATTTAAAGTTTTCCTCTAGCTGAATAAAAAAGCTGTTCAGTAATCCTATATTTATGGCAAAAATGGAGTCAAACTCAAACCCAAATGTATTCAACCTTTATATAATCCATTGTTGAGTATTAAAAAATTAGTAAGGTAAAGATAAAGATAAAACTGTAATTAGGCAAAAAGTGAAACACTAAACTTTACCTACGTTCTCCTTCTGTCTCTTGAGGACCCCTGGATCTTTATCATCCAGTCTGTTTCTTCTCCTGCATATGAAAAGTGTACAAAAACACCCAGAGAAAAAGTGTTTCAACTATAGTACATTTTTGACAAACCAAGAATGCCAGGACAGGTTATTCTTCTTTCTTCCAATATGCCTCCTGAAGTTTTTTTTCTTTTCTTTTCTAAATGAGATTTTTCAGCCAATCTTACCCAGTTCAGTTAAAAAGCTAACAGAATTGAGGGAGAAAAGTGAAAGATAAGAAAATCAAAAGGTGTGCAACAGATTTTTTCATCAGGAAGCGCCTGAGTGGTATAAAGTTTTGAGCTGACTAGAAAAATGCTTATTGCAAGTTCCCCAGGAAGCAGATGGCTGCTGGTCTTTATAAACATCTTCAGCTGACAGCGATATTGCTCCTACAAGCATTCCCCACACTGTTATTAAGCACATCTGAAGAAAACAAATGCTTCAGAATGCTGTAGAATTGGTGGAGTTCTTCATCAGTTGCATTTACAGTATAGTCCTTCTATCATGATTCAAACTGGGATCTCTCTGGTGACATGCAACCACACATCAAACAAGCATGGATTTCTTGAACCATACACATGAAAATGTGGGCAAGACTTTTGTTGCCCATGGCATTTATTCCACCCTCAACCTGTTTTGCACACCCAAGCTTCAACAACAGCACTGAGTAATCACCATATAATAAAAAGAATATGTAATATTTATTGTTGACCCACACAGATATGGAATCTATATGGAGGCAAGATTTCCCTGGTTCCTGAGATCTATTTTTTGAGAGTTAGGTTTTCCCTGCTTCCATGAAAAGTTCCTGCTATTGGATTAAGGGGAGGACGGTTGTTTGGAAAAATGTATCTTGATATAAAAGAGTTATAACAACTTGTGTTTGATAAGTGCCATTGAAAAGGGGTGCTCCATATAGTTTATGATCGTTATCATCCAAATTGAAGCTATTTCTGTGAAAACAGGATGCTTGAAGGACAAGCTGTACTAACCCTATTTATCAAAATTTAATATCAAACTCAGCCCACTCTGGAATAATTAAATTAAATTAAATTAAATTGCCCTGACAATTTCATTCTTCACAAGGGAAGGAATAACCACTACTTTGTTAGAGGCGTGATGCCTAAAATCACTTTCAGTTAAAAATCTCAGGGTGGGGTTTTGTTTTGTTCTGTGAAGCTACCTTAAATTGCTAAACTATGAGTTTTTAGCAACAGAAATTTAGCTCAATAAATGCATTTCAGGGTATAAATTACGACTTATGCATGACTATAGTACAATCAATTGACGGCTCATTTTCTGGGAATACCTGGAATAAATATATCAGGTGTCCATGAGCATTCATCTAAAATGATCCAATCAAGCTGTGACAGCAGGGTTTTTTTTTCCCAGAGTACATTCATTTTTGCTTGCTATCTTATGTTAGAATTTAGTTCTGGATGAAGTTAACAACTAGTACATTTTATTAAAAGTTCCAAAGATGTTCTCAGTGCATATTACTGACAAAAGGCAAGCTATCTTTCTGAATTAATCCCATTTTATTAAACATTGTGTAAAGCAACTCTGTTTTCTGCCAAAGCTAGAATGCAAAAGGAACAATTATACATTTAATCCCACTGATTTTCTCTAAAGGGGTTAATGAAATACACTGGCTGTTTGATCCAACAAGAAGAAAAGAACTTGGTTATTAAGCAATTTTGTACAAATGAAAAAACCATGCATTTTAAAAGATTTTTGCAATGCTTTCCAAGAATGTGCTCCAACTGGACTTGGAAGTCTTGTCAAGTTTTTCAAGAACTTTATTAACATTGCTAATCAATGACAGGTTGAACCTCCAGATTGCTGTGTCCCTAATGAGATATTTTTCACCAACATCATTTTCATGGTGTTTCCTACAATTGAAAAGAATGGCAATGTCTTTGGAAACTTCAAGTGTCCTACTATATCCCTTGAGAATGGAGTAGCTTGACGCCTGAACCACTTTCCTTGGATTTACAATCATTTTCTTCAAAATATTGATATGCAGTTTATAGGGCTCTCGATAAACATGTTGCAATATGTTAACTCCAGGGACGATTTTCCAAAGAGAAAAATTGAATTGGTCTGAAGACAAAAATACATTCTGAGAAAAAAAATGACTCTCAAAAAAGAAGATCCCTGCCCCTGGATTTTGATCCTCAAGGCTATGTATCATATTTTTCCAATTTAGGTGTTTTAGGGGAAGGATAATTTCATTGATATCATTAAAAACCACATACTTGCTTAGGTACATATTACGGTAGATGCAATCATTTAGAACCGTAGTTTTTCCATAGTCCCAGTCCTGGTAAGAGTACCAGAAAGAAGACAAGTTCACGTAGGAAGTAATTGGCCAAGGTATAATTTCAACAGTGCCTTCTTCAACATAAAACTTTAAGATCTGGTCCATCAGTAAGCTGCAACTCGTTTTGTAAATGTACACTCTCTCGGCACCGAGGATTTTATACATTTCCATGCTTTGTATGAACTGTAAGACATTGCTGTAATTCTCGTACATGACGGACAGGCAAATAGTGAATTCAGCAAAAAATGAAGTCCTGGGAACCCGGTTTTTGATTTCAAACTTTGGGAGCTCATCCATGGATCCTTTAGCAGATGGATGAATGGACATGTAACGTGGAGAGCAGCTTTGGGGTTCCACACACACGATATCTGCTGCACCAATGGGGAGTCCAAACCTCTCTGGATGGATGTCTATTGCTGCGCGACCTATAGAGATGCGATTGTTATGACTGCAGCAAAACCAACAATAAAGATCTTGGACTTTCTTGTAATGCACCACTGCAATTGCCCGTGTGACGTTTTGTTGCCTGCTGTCATGGTACAATGAAACAATGAAGGTTTTGTTATATTTTAATGCGGTGATGGTATCATTGACAAGCTCGCCTCCACAAAGGCCCGAGGACTGTTTTGTTTGCGGTGCAGATGGTCGTCTCCTGGGGTACTTTTCGAAGAACAGAAGGACTAGGAAAGGCACCATCAAGCAAAACATCTTCCTTCTACAGCGAGGCATCTTTTCCCTTGGATGCTGCCTCAAAAAAGCTTTTAGACAAGGGAGGGAGGAAGTAAAATTAGATTATTCTTTTTTAAAAAATAACCCCCCTAAAATGAATGAACCCTACAATGGAATTAAAGCTGAACAACATGCTTGTAAACTGATACAGGTGTGCCTGTTTCTTTCCACTGGGGCAATTATTGGAAAACAAGCCCTGTTGCTTTGTTTTAAAGTTCAAGCCCTTTCAACAAAGGCACAGCTGTCCCACCATTATAAATAAGTCACTTTTGTCCAGCATCACCTGCTCGACCTGGTTGCTGAATAGCTCCATTTTCTTACACTTAAGCAACATGTACCTTGAATACAATACATTGAACCTAACCACACCTGCTAGGTTTGTCTAATGTGCAAAGTCACACACATACACTCCTATATCTATATCTATATTATCTATATTCTATCTATCTATCTATCTATCTATCTATCTATCTATCTATCTATCTATCCATCTATATTATCTATATATATATCAATATCCTATCCATCTATCTTATCTTTATCAATATTTCTATCTATCCATCTATATTTATATCTATCAATATCTATATCTATATAATCTATTCTATCCATATTATCTTTATCAATATTTCTATCTATCCATCTATATTATCTAAATTAATATCTATATCTATATCTATATAATCTATTCTATCCATCTCTTTATCAATATTTCTATCTATCCATCTATATTATCTAAATTAATATCTATATCTATATCTATATAATCTATTCTATCCATCTCTTTATCAATATTTCTATCTATCCATCTATATTATCTAAATTAATATCTATATCTATATCTATATAATCTATTCTATCCATCTCTTTATCAATATTTCTATCTATCCATCTATATTATCTATGTCTATCAATATCTATATCTATATCATCTATTCTATCCCTTATCTTTATCAATATTTCTATCCATCTATGTTATCTATATCTATATCTATATATTCTATCCATCTATCTTATCATCAATATTTCTATCTATCCATCTATATTATCTATATCTATCTATATCTATATCTATATCTATATCTATATCAAT